TCCGCGGATGGCCACCCGTTTTAGGGAATCGATAAATCGATCGACGCTTCTATATATAATCGTTTTCTCGGTTTCTTCGAGGACGTCGAACGTTATATCGAAGGGGCTAGCGGGGTTGAACTTCCCTACGTCTTCTGGTCTAATACGTGCTAGGGGTGCTCGAGGAGGGTTTACGGTAGTGTTGTCTCTGGTTTCTCTTGCTATAGCTTTTGCCAGCAGTCTCGTAAGAGCTTCCTCCGTGATTAGACTTACTGGCTGGTTCGCCGGGGTTATTATCGCGAACGTGCCGCTAGGGGTGGTATCATTTAGAGGTTCTTCCCTGTTTTGTTCGTCGTGGTTTGGCGAACTTCTTAGCGAACTTCTAGGGCTTTGTCCTTCCGATGGAGGTGGTTGAGGCGGGGCGGGGGAAGCCATGCTATGCCGATTTCCGTGCGGCTCCGTTACTCGTAGCTAATATTGCCTCGTCGCTAGAACGTATTCTAGGTTGTTGATTCGTTCCTACAGGCTTTGACGATTGGCTAGGTAGGCTGGTGAGTCGTATCGTAGAAGTTCCGCTCTTAATTCCTCCGGGCGTCGTTCCCACCGCTAGGGTAGGCGATCCGGCTGTCTTCCGTTTCCGTGGGCACTTAACGGGAAATATCCCGGAAATAGGTATCTTTCTGACCGCTGATGGAAGCTCTGTAATGCTTGAGCTTCAATGCGTCGAAGTTCTGCCTCTATCCGGAGTTCCCCGAGTATTTCCTCCGTGAAAAGAGATTGGGAAGCCGGTATTCGTTGGTACGCGAGCAGGAGCTTTCTTCCTAAGAAGATATCGGGGTTCATAGGTCGAGGTCAACTCGTTCTATTTATTATTTTTTATCTTCCGTTCTACCAGAGGTAGACTTTTAGGAGAATAGATTTTTAGGGGAATTAGAATTGCTACCATTTGTTAAGCACTAGTCCCTTAGTACGGGGCTGGTACGTTAACCTTGCCGTCTGCCCGGATCCGGTGCGGGTCTAACGGGTAATAAAACGGACTGGCTACTGTACGTAGGTTTTAAACGTGTTATACGGACTAGCTACCGTACGTTGTTACGCGCGTTGAATACGGACTGGCTACCGGTCTTGCGAGTTAAAGTAAGAGTAGTAACGACTATCTGTATTCTTCTCTGCCCGCCTAAAATCTAGCGGGTTCTCTATCCTCTATATATACTATAGCGAGCGTAAGACCTTACTCGGGGCTTTAACCGAGTAATGTCTTAACCTTGTGATCGTGCGACAGTGGTGCGGTGTCTTAGCGGCATTTCCCGGTGTTTTCCCCGGGTAAGCACGGGTATTTCTCTATAATTTCCCCGCTATGTTCTCGTGGTAACTTCTTAGGGAAATATCGGTGCAGTCCCTAAGGAACTTATTATTACTCGGGAAATCATAGTGCATTCCCCGTGCAATGTGTCCCAAATCTCCGTGAAATGTCCGTGCAATCCGCTTGGTTGTCGTTCCGGAATTCAGGTGATTTCAGGTTGCCCGGTGGCTTCCGGGTTCCTTCTTCCGCGGGGAGCCTTAGGGAGTTAGGGGTGTCTTCCTTAGGGGAAGCAGATGTCGTTCCGGGTACCTAGATTGTCGACCGTAAGGTGTCCCGTAACATATACCCTATGCTTAGCGCCCTATCTCCCTTTTATCTTATCTTAGTAAGGGCCTTAAGCGGCTTATTATACGGCGTTTAGCGTAGGCCTTAATCTACTATAGCGTACTATACCTATAATAAGCTAGCGCGCTTTTAAAGAGGTCGGCTATAGATCTTATAGCTACCTTAGTTTATAATATTAAAGAGGCATTCGCCTAGAAGTAAGTTATAACCCTAGTAACCTTAGATATATAAAGCGCCTTCGATATAGTTCTCTATAATAGATTAGTCCTCTACTTACGAGAATAAGGATAGCTATCGAACCTCGCGCGCTAGGCCGGCTCGTTTACATAGGATAGATCTATATATATCCGCTATTAAGATATTATAATAGATTTATCGCCCCTTTAGTACGGTCTACTATAGGGGTCGCCCGTCTCGCCGATCCTCTTCCTATTATATACGGAGCTAATATATCGCCTAGGCTAGTCTTAGGGACGCTTTAGCTACGCGGACGATACTACTATTTTATACGTCGGTAAGAGTCTTAATAAAACGTCTACTAAAGCATCTTACTAGTTATATAAGCTTCTTTTATAGGGCGCTACTAATAGAATCTCTTTTAACCCCGATAAGATAAAAGTAATATACTTCTCTTAAACGAAGCTTAAGACGTCGCCGCCGGTGCTCTACGACGAGTTTAAGAAACGGTCGGATCGAGCAATACGTTAGCTCGGCATTTAGCTCGATAGCTCTCTCTCTTTTAAAACCTACGTCGAGAAGTAGACGGCTAAGGCGTAAGCCGTTGCCTTTTACCTTAAGAGACTAACGAACACTAAACATAGCCCTCTATAGAGTGCTATGCGACGAGCCGTCTATGCTTATATTATCCCCGTACTACTATACGCGGCGGAGGCCTAGTACCCTAGTCTAACGTCCCCGCGCTAAACGAAGCCTTTTAAGGAGGGGCCGTCGGGGATTAGTAACCTCGTTAAGAAGATAAGTAAGGCACTCTACTTATCTCTTCGGGCTATTCTACTAGTATAGAAGACGATACTAACGAACGTGCTATATAGGGAGGCGGGAATACCGCCTATTCTTCTACTCCTTAAAGGGCGTTAGATAGCCTTTACTATACGTCTTAAAGCTCTTAACGAAGCTTATCCGCTCGCGAGGCGAACGTTGCGACTAAAAGCTCCTATTATAATCGTAAATAAACTAATTAAGCTAAAGTACTAAAAACCGATATAGCCCTTTTAAACGAGGCTATAGCGTACTAATAGAATGCTATCGAGCTACCTAAGACCTCTTTTACTATAACGAAGATTTACTAATAAGCCGACTAAGCCTCTATAGACTATATTAAAAAATAAGACGGCGACGAAATTTCGCGCTTAGCTCTAAGCACTATCGCCCCGAACTCTTATTATCTACTTTAATAGGTCTCGTTCTAAGGAAGGCTATATCGGATACGGCTATACTATTTACTAGGACGGATCTACTATCTTAAGCGGTAAGGGCCGTCTTAGAATAGCTAAGGTTTTCGACGCTAAGGTATATTAGAGGGGTTAAAGGCTATAGTAAGCTTTTTAGAAACTAACTATATCTTTATCTACCTTAATAACCTTGCGACTATAATATACTTATAAGGCACGCCGAACGACTCCTCGTAAGAGGTCTTCCTTAAGTTTTAATCTTTAGCGCGAAAATATAGAGCTATAGAGGTCTATTAGATCCCTAGCTATACTAATATCCTAGGTAACGAGGAGGCTAATACTCTAGTAAAGGCGGGAGCATTACTACTAGAACCCGCTAATAGTAAACCGACGCTAGCATATCTAAGAAAAATTACCCGACTATAGCAAAAAGAGGCTTTTAGTACTTAGTAGGAAACCTCTACGCCGGAGCGATATAGAGACCTAAGGCTTAAAGCTATAACTAGCTATCCGTTAGAATTAGCGCTCTCTCGGCCCCTACTTTAGAACTTACTTATAGTAAGAACCTACTATAGGGATTTTGCTAACTACTACGAAAGGTTTAGTCACGACGATACGCGACTAACGTGCTCGTGCGGACGACGAAAAGAGCTAGTATATATCTTTTACTATAGAAAGGTTACGCCACGGCATCGTATGCGTCTTACACCTTCGCCGCCTATAGCTATTAACCGCGCAATCGGTAAGGACTTTAATAAATTCGTTAGGCTAGCGAAAGCGAGCTCCTTCTTCGGAGGGATCCGCTCACGCCACTAGACGGTCATTATCCCTTCTCTCACCCTACCTTTTCCTCTCAATTCTTTCTATTACCTGCTCCGATCTTAGGCGGCGTTAAGGTCTTACGACCATGCGATCGCCGAGGTTATCAAGGGCTATAAGGCCCCAGAAGCAAATTAGCTGATCTAACCACGGGACAGCTTTCTCTTTATGCCTAGACGTCCCGCTAACGGGCAAGGTTTATTATGAGCGCCGGTGAGCCGATGAAATGCTGGATAGTGGGTAAAGTATACGATATATAGTATATAGACACCTACTAGCTTAGCACGTCCTATGCTCCCTAGCGGAGACCTAAGCGACCAAAAGTTGCTAGACGGAAAATACACTAAACTAAACTAAACTAAGCTAAACTAAATAGCCGTTTTTCTTTCTTTTTAGACGCCTCCGTGGTTAGCAATGGCTTTTGGAAACTCGCAAGTCTCGCGCTTAAGGTGTCTGATATCTAAAGGCATCTCTCCGGTATACGTGTCGTCGTAGGTTGTTGAGAAACCGACAGCCTGAGAGTCGGGTAGATAGAGATCACCTTCACCATGCTTGCCGGTTATGGCACACTTGCTCTACTTTATGGCTTAGACTAATAGTGTAACCGTTAGTTTAGGATCTTTAAACCGAACCGCCGGTTCGACCCGAAAACCCCAAACCGCACTATTAGTCCGCGGACTAATAGTGCAAACCGCGGTTCGGACTAATAGTCTCCGAAACCGGTTACACTATTAAGAGTCCTGCATGCAGGGATGCTGCGGGCAAGCCGGGCAAAAGTGGGAACGCGGCCGTCTTGTCGGAGACATTGCAGCGGGTATAAGTCCCCGATGGAAGCCAATATTATCATTCTCCCCTGTCGTGAGTCGGAATCAGCGGGGGTGGAAGGGGCCTGGATTGGCCCTCGGACAGGTCCATTGTTCGGCAGGCGTTACTGGAAGCGGCAGACGACGACGACTCGGGATGGCATTACCGCCCTCAGTCTGCCGATGGATGGATGCCGTTTAGGGGGTTGTGCAGGCTCTCGCTGTCGGCCCCGAGGCTTAGTTCGAGGATATAACGCGGCGGCGAGTTGAAGATGCAAGACTCGGTTTCCCCCGTTTCTGGCCCTTACCAAGACTCATTGGCTCTTCGAAGCATACACAATGCGGCTGCTCTTGGTCCTTGCCATTGCCATCGAGGCCCTCGGCACGGCGCAGGCCCTGCCCCGAGCCATGCCATCACCGCCCTCCCGTTACCAACGCCTCGGGCGCGACCTCGACGGCGACGCCAGCGCCGGGGGCTTCTACCGCTTCGAATGGGTCAGCAGCTCCCTGCAGGCCGGCGACCGGCTCGCGCGGTCCTCGGCGCCATTCTACCAGCACTCGGACCCCGACCAGCGGCTAACGGGCGCGTCGATTGCCTTTCTCAAGCAGCAGGGCATCTCGCACGTCATCAGCCTCAACGCCGAGGCCAACAGCCCGGCCATCCGGGACGCGCTAACCAAGAACGGCATCGCGTACACGGCGCTGCCGGTGCGCGACTTTGAGAGCCCGACGCTCGACGACTTCAAAAAGGGCCACCGCGCCTTTGAGCAGCACCGCGCCGGCACCCTCGTGTGGTGCGGCTACGGCCACGGCCGCACCGGCACCATGGTCACGGCGCTGCAGGTCTACAGCGAGCAGGCCCGCCCGGACCCGCGCCGCCTGCTGCCGGCCGACTTCAGCAAGAACCACGTCGAGACGGCCGGCCAGATTCGGCTGCTGAACAAGCTGCAGCGTAGCCTGCAGCCGGGCGCCTTCCGGAAGACGGCCGAGAACGCCGTGAAGATGCCCAGCGCCGCGTGGGGCAAGGCCTTGGGCAACAATGCGCCCGACGCGCCGGCGCTGGCGCCCAAGCCGAAGCCGGCATCGCAGGCCAAGACGGCCGACGACAAGGCCGTCGTCGCCTCGTCCAAACCGGGCGCCAAGGTGCCCAAGTCTGTCGGCGACTGGTGGGCGGAACAGATGGCGGCCAAGCCGTCCAAGGGCATGGCCAAGTCTATCGGCGACTTGTGGGCGGACCAGATGGCGGCCAAGCCGCCCAAGGGCGTGCCCAAGAAGATTGTCGTCGGCATGCCCGGCGCGGGCCTGGCCAACCCCGGCTTCAACCCCCCCGTCGGCAAGAACCTTGTCCCCACCGCCAAGGGGCCCGGAAACATGGTAAGCGACTGCTGCGGACCGAAACACGACGTGTTCTAAGCCGTCTTTGCAGTTCTATTCCGGAAAGGGGCGGCCTGGCGTCTTTGTCGGTCGCACCTTTGGCGGCCGCTTTGGCGGCCCCAGGGTGGCGGGAGGCTTCGTCGGCGCGCCTGGGGTCAGGAGGCCGTGACGGCGCCAGGGGTTAATTTTTCTCGGATACTGTGTATATACATCTATACATCTATATATTTGGTATTTGATGTTTGATAGAGTAATGCTATTTGTATATACACATATCTCTATTCGTACAAACGCCCCATTTTTAAGATACGTACTAACCCCATCCCGCCCCGCCTATTTGTACCGCGCCCGCATGGCAGGTAGCGGTACCGCCTAAATGCCCGCGCCCGAGCCCGCCTATATACATACACCACATATAAGGCAAGAAAGGCCGCATAACGTATGCCTCTTAATTCGCTTAAATAACGCATTTCCGGGCCTTAAGCTCGAAGTTAAGATAATCGGCCTATTAATTAATCCGGCCCCTCTAGCGCTTACGGCTATATAGGCGGCGGCGGTCGCCCCTACTTAATGGCCTCCTACTTAACGAGCCCTCTAACGCCTAACGAAGCTAAAGGCGCGCTCCTCTTACCGCGTCCTCCTCTTAATCCCTTTCCCCTTATATTTCCTCGGGCTAACGATCTTTATTATAACGCTATAAGAGAACGCAGGCTATAGATAGCTTATTATTATAGGGGCGGCCGCGTATAACCGTAATAACGTTAGGATCGTAGATTCGTAATAATAGCTCTTTAGGGTCCTAATAGTAATAATTAGTAAAGAAATTACGAGAAAGGGGGGGGGTCTTTACTAATAGCTTCTTAAGCTACTAGTATAAGAGAATATTACGCTTTTTAAGCGTTAACCTAGCTTCGAGGCGTTAAAGGATTATATATATATAAGGTAGCCTAAATTAGTATTTAAATCGCCCGCTATAAGGCTATAACGGCTATAGCTCTTACGTTAGCGAGGGCATCGCGGTAAGGGTAAGCCTATATTACGTAGTAAGTAGGTTAACTACTTCGTAGGTAATTTTAACGCTAAGATCCCCGAGCTAAGTCTACCTAAGGAAATAATACCTCTATCGTATCTCTTACTAAGCGGCCTTCTATATATATATTATTTCTTTATTCTTAATTATTTATATAAGGGTATCGTAAAGATATAAGAGGTTAGAGGTGCCTATAACTAAATACGACTTTATATCCTTATAGGCAGTCTCGACTAAGCTATTTACCCGCTACCCGAAGTTATAATACTAGCTAATAAAGTAGCTTGCCTATTACTTATACTATAGTATATATTCGTTCGAGATATAGGTTATAATATTATCGCGAAGCGTGGCTTGATTTCGTAGTTCTCGGAGATATCCCTTAGCACGAGGGACCTAGGAAGCTAAAAAAACAGGTTTTAAGGAAGGAGCTAAAAGGAGGTGCAGAGAGGAGGGTAGGGGCAAGAGGGGAAGCAGAAGTAGCGATAGCTTCCTATAGAGGTAGCGAGAAATAAGACGGATATGCTAGCAACGGCTAGAAAGGAGGGGAAAAACCGGCAAAAAGCTCGGTAGTCGAGAGGACATTAGTAGCTTCTTTAAGTAGGATCTTCTTTATTAATTAAGATACTAGACGGGTATAAAGAAGGGCGTTAGATAGAGGAAAGAAGGAGAATTAAGGCAATATAACAATTACTCCCCTGCCGTAATTGCTGCTCCCGTAAGAATCAAATCTCTCTGCCCTGCCTATCCGACCCCTTACTTCTAATTTTACCTTCGTGCATTTTTATATACTTCTTATATCTCTCCTTATATCCCTCGTAGCTTCCTTTTACCCCTCTTACTAGAAAAGCCGATTTTTACCCGACTTTTCTAGCCTTCCCCGTAATAATATCGAAAAACGACTCTGCCGCCCTTACGGTCCGTAGGACGATTCTTATAGAGCCCTAAGATTAGGATAAGTAGGTAAAGGAGCTACGGGCTCGTATAGATAGGACTATCTATAATTTAGTCTTTTCTAATAAGCAGGACCCTCTCGAGCCCCCTCTTTGTCCTAGGGCAACGGACTTTATAAAGGGAGCTTCCCTCTTCTCCGAGCTAACCTCCGTATAGCAGAGAGCTTTTTCTGCTGCCTTAGGTAACTACGAGAGTCACCGTAAGGAATACCTTTACGAGATAAAGCTGCTAACTACTGCACGCACGGCAATAACGGAATCCGTTAGTACCGTAAAGCTAATTACTCTTTAAGAGGAAGAGACTCCTAGGCAGTGGCTTTTAAAGCTCGAGACCTCGATAGCTCCCTCGAGAGGTTATATAACTAACCGTATTAAGAAGACCTATACGGCCCACCTAGGAGCCTTTTCTGCTAGGAACCTACTAGCTTCTTCGTGGCTAGCTAAGTAGGAAGAAATCCTCGAGGAAGCTAACTAATACTTCCTTATAGAAGCTCTTTCCGGCTAGTAGCTATAGGATATATCTCTATTAATAAAACCTATTAGTAACGGTTACTCGACTATCTTTCGAGAAGCTAGCCGGGAACTAGATAAAGAGGCTGCTTAAGTATAATAATAAGCAGTCTTATTCCTTCGTGGCTAGCACTCGACCTAGACGGCTCGACCTGCTGCCCCGGCAGCTGCTGCAGCCCCTATTGCTGCGGCTCCCGCTGCTGCTACTGCGGCTGTTGCTCCTTCGGCTCCTCCTCCCTCGAGAGCCTTAACGCCGTCGTTAACTGCAGCTGCGGCCCTAGGCCCGGCCCCGGCTCCGCCTCTTGCTCCGGGCCCGGCCCCGGTCCCGTTAGTTAGACCGGCCCGACTAGTCCCCTAATAGACCTTTTAGTCCGTTAGTCGAAAAATCAGGGAACTAGTCGAAATCGAACCTCTTCGTTAAAATCAGCAATAAGGGGTAAAAAGGGGAGGTTTTTAAGGAGACCTTCCGGATCGGGACGAGGATTCCTCGAAGAAACAGAAGACTAGACGACGAAACGGCTGCCTAGTATATAAATCCCTAGGTTATCGATTATTATAATACTAGTAGGTCTTCGAGGAAAACCGACCTAAAGGATTTAACCCTTTAAAGAGGCTATAAGAAACGATATAATAGTCTCTTAAGGAGGACCCCTTATTATAGAAGAAGATAGACGAGATTTAGGTTGCTAAGAAATAGCAACTAACGCCGCTGCCCTTATTTAAGCCGTAAATTCAAGGAAAAATCGTTAGTATAGTAAATCCAGCCTTCGTCTTCCCTATAGATTAATAAGGCTAAGACCAACTATTAGAGCCCTCCGATTATCCCCTACGAAAATCAGCTATCCTTAACTCTAGTACTTCCCTCGATATCTATAATATACTCTTACGATTCCGGTCCTTTAAGAAGGCACGGAGGGAATATCTTATTACCGGGGAATTAACTATATAGATAGAGGGATATAGAAGGGTAAATTTTACGATGAAATTACCTAATAGGTCTATACGAATTCTTCGACGAAAAAGGGTAGCTTTTTGCCCTCGATTTTTAACGAGCTTAATTTCCTTCCGCTTTCTTCGAAAGGAAGGGATCTTCTAAGATACGACGTCTAAGTATACGAGGCTAGTCTAGAAGAATTAGACTATCGGGCTTATCGAGGAAAGATTCGGTTAATTTATTCTCGAATTCCGACCTATCCTTAGGAAGGAATCTCTTATGAAGTTAGCTTTCCCTGCTAGGAGGGTAGGTTTAAAGGACCCTCTTCCGGCAGCCTAAGGAGACGGTCTTCTTTAGCACGCACGACTTAGTTACGGGCCCCCTAGCTTTATATAAGCTAGGCTAATAATAGGGCGTATAAATAAGGGGCCTAAAGACCGTCGAATACGAATACTATAGCTAAGGGAAGACTAAGAGACGAATTTCTAGACGGACCCTAATACGGCCGGACTAGCCGTGTAAGGAAATTTAGGTCGACTAGACTAACGTCTCTAGGGATTAGGAAAGCTTCGTTAGGGTAATGTTTTTTATAGACGCCTTTTTAGGGATAGTTTTCTACTATTTCTTACGGACCTACCTAAGTATAACTAGTCTGCCCTCTAGGACTTCGTTAACTAGATAAATTCCTACTTCGGCTACGAGGTAAAGAAGATACGGTCTAAGGGAGAGTTATTTACGAAGTATATCTTAAATTAGCTTCGAAAAAGGGGCATTCTACCCCTCCCGTTAGCACCGAATACCTAGGCCTAGAACGGAGGGGCAGAAAGATTAGGGGGTGCTATAATAGAAAGGGCCCGTACGATAAGACTTACTATAAGGCTTCTATACGACCTTTAGAGGGAAGTTATTACTACCTTCGTGCCTACGGCTATAAGGTATATACAATAACTGCCGATATATAGCTAAAAAGGAAGAAGAAAAGAAAGCTTAATCTAAGAGCCTTTATTAGTTACCTCGTTAGTTATAATTCTACGAAAATCTTCCGGATCTAGATTCCTTTTCTATAGAAGGTTATTTCGACTAGGGATATGATTTTTAACGAATCTAGCTTCTTCGACGGAAAGAGGGATTAATAGCCCCTCTTACTCTCTTAACGTTAGCTAATTTAAAAGATTTAAATCCCCCCTTCCTAATAGTCTTAAGAAGAGGTCCTAGACGAAGAAACGGAAGAAGAAACCGACGTTAAAGTAGTCGAGGATAACGCCGACTTCGAAGAGGAAGCTACTAGATTAGATAATCTAGACGAAGAAGGAGACTATAGGAAAGCGGTAGAGCTAGAATACGCCTACCTCCCTACGCCTCCTCTTACGGAATAAGAAGAAGATCTAGAAGCAGCTTTTTTAGTTAGTCTTCCCGTCTCGACCCCTAAGGGGGTAGGAAAGGCACCTCTCTTAAAGGATTACCCGGCTGCCCTTTTATCCCTACTTCGAGAGGCAAAGGAAGGTATAGGGCCCGATACGAAAGAAGACTAACCTTTCCCCTATTTCGATCGTTTTTCCGACTTCTACCTAATACTAATAGATCTTAAGGTATATAAGCAAAAGCGGAATTTTAGGAAATCAAGGAATCACGTAAGACTACGTAATAGAGGGGAAGAAGGAGTATAAGGTAGGATTTTCAATGGAATTTATTAGTAGTGTATTAGTATATAGAAGAGGTGTTAAAGTTATTAATACTTAATC